AATCTCGGCCGTTGATGCGTTCGTCCGGCTGAAACCGAAAGGGACCATGGACTGGGAACATCATGACAACATGGCAGCATGGCAAAGAGAGAATGGCACGACTCAGGTTTGGAGGAATGTCATCTCCAGGAACGACCAGACCGGTTCAGAACAGAGTGCGACGATAATTTCGAGGACGACCGCCACACCAACAGCGCGCGCCCTTTAACAAATTACAAACGCAAACTGGCCCCATCCCCGCAGTTCTACCCCGGATTCAATGACACAATCGGAATTGCCAACAGCTTCGTTCAGTCCATGTCCCTCACCCTCCCCTGCTCATGCTGGCCCCCCCCCCCCCCCCCCCCCCCCCCCCGCCCCCAGACCCCCCCCCACCACCCCCCCCCAGCCGCCCCCCCGGCCCAAAACCCCAACCAGGAACGCCCGCCCCCTCCTCACCGCCCGGTCCCACCCCCCCCCCCCTTTCCAGTGCCCCCCCCCCCCCCCCGGTAACGAGGAGCGAGCAAAAGCCCGTCGCAAACCGCTTCCAGTTGCTCCTTCGTACGAAGATCTTGCACGCCAAAGCTGTGTAGTTCGGTTCTCGCGGCACGACGGCCGAGTCGTTTGACGCAAGTTTGAACCTTCGGATCCGCCAAACGCGGTAGATCAGCTAGTTTATCACCCTCAACTAGACGCCAATACAACCTGCTGATGCACAGTTGTTATCCATGGCCTTGTTTGCCTTGATTCGCCTTCTTCATCGACGTGTTGCGATTTCTCGTCACCCTTTTTTTTTTTTTTTCGCCTAATGTCTATGAAACCAGTTTCGCTTTGCCACGAATGTGTCCAGTTAATGTCGGGCGAGAACTCGGCGTAAATGCAACCTCCTTTCTCAACACCCACCAAAACCACACCAGCCTCCGAAACTGTTATCTCTGCGGTTGGTAATGGTTGTATGTCAAATTATTGAGCAGAAAGTCTCTCTGGCCAGTCAGAGTTGGCCTAAAGAACTGGCACAAGAAGAAGACACACGCAAAAAACAGGGTCCGTATGGGTTCCGTTCACGCACGAGAGAAGTCTGTCCGGCATGGATACTCGCTCCAAAAACCCGCGTCGCATGAGATCTCGCCTCGCTCGCCTCGCTCAACAGGCGGCCCTGGACGGGGTGGCACGGGTGGGAAGACGGGCATATGCAGGGGGGATCAGCCCTTTGTGCGCTTTGTGTGGCCACATGTGCAGGGAAGTGCGTAGGAGGCGTCGACAAGCCTTTTGGGGCCTTCCAGTCGATCTTCTAGAAGCCTTCCCAATACGTGACAGGTGTGAGTGGGCAAAGGTGGGATCGGCATGGATCCACGACTCAAGGATGTCGGGAATCTACGGGACCGCGGCGGCGCTATTACGTCTAACTTTGCGGCCCTCTGCGGGTAAGCGGCCTTGCAACCCACGACTGGTTTAGCGCATCGAAGCAAGACACTCAGGACAATCCCAAGGCTTGCAGAAATCGCCTACGCCAGCGCGGGAAGGCAACTTGAAGGGGAGGAGGGGGACGGGTAGAAGGGTGGAAGGGTGGGAGAGATCCGAGAGACGTCTGCGCCTATGGGAGTCTTTTCCCACGAACGGGCTCAGGCCCCCCCCCTTGTTCGGCAATCGTCACTCTTGGCTTTGGCTCTTGTTCGTTTTCGTCTGAAAATTTTTGAGCCTCATGCTCTTGGCCCAACGTCCAATGTTCAAAGTCACCTATGACGCTCTTTTCCTCGCTAGAGTTCCAGCAACTCTAGATAAGGCAAAGTTTTCTCTTTCGTCCGTTTCCCTTCTCTGAAAGGAGCTCAGACTATCTTTATTCAAATCCCAGTCACGTCAGGCCTCTTCCCAGCGCGCCACCGGTCGTATTTCGGGGTCGCCCGTGGGAACAGCAACATGGACTGACTCAAGGTGGGCGAGATGAGGCCACTCTGCGGCTCTGCTTCTGGGTCCTTTAGGTAAAGAATAGGTCACAATATCCACCCTATTACGATGCAAAAACTCTACCAATTGCCTCAGTCCCGCATTTACACGACCGTGAACAGAGCAACCCCGTCAACAACCCTCAACTTGCTGGCACGCGTTCCTAGTTTTCTTGACAACGAGAAATACAACTTTCCACTGGGAAACTCGGGGAAGCAGCACGCGGCCTCACGCAAAGACCAATGTGTTAATTCTGGAATCTCAGGGACGCTGGCCGATTTCGCGGGGAAAGTCTGCAACGGTTTATTCCCCCGCAATTTCACAAACGCACGGAATCCGGTCCCAAAGCAAGGGGGGCCGGGTTGATGATTCTCTTGTACAAAGTACGAGTCGTCGAATAGCAGAGCTTTCCGTGGGACTTGAGTATCCGTATGTCAGCCATCTAGGTAATCTGGCTGACGAACTCTTGCCGCCCACTCGCCCACTCTCTCGTCCCTCGTCCGTGGTAAGGCCATCTACCCATCCCCATCCCCATCCCATTCCATTTCCCAGGTGCCGGTGTCACCGCCCACGATCGCGGGGGGGCCAAAAGATAAGGACCCTGGTCCAATCATCGTAGGTTCCGGGTCTCAGTCGAGGTGAATTGCTTTCAACTCGACGAGGTCGAGCCCTCGGCCTGACTCCGGGGTCGGTGCTGATGCTCCGCCCTTTGCCACCATATATCCCGCCTCCGTCTTCCCATCTTCTTGTTGTTGTTTCTCTCTTTCAGTCCAACCGGCTCTTGACTCTTCATCTCTCTCTCTTCTCTCTTTCTTCAACCGAAGTCAGACCTGTTCAACCCGGTCCGTCCTGTTGTGCGCCCGAGTGTGTTTGTCTCATGCAACGCCCTCAACTCCAACAACACCCATCTCGCCTTTGACATCATCCCGTCAAAGCGTCCTCCCCTCCTCCTCTTCCTCCGCCCGGGCCCCACGCCACACGCAAAACTTGGACTAGAGACCAAAAAAACCACACTCTCTCCAACCTTACACACACTCCAACAAGGAGCCCATCATGGATCACGACCAGATTAGACAACAGCAGGCTCATGCCGCCGACAACAAGGACACCAAGTCCTCCGACGGCGCCGCTGTCGCCCCCCAATTTTCCCGCGATGCCGTCTTCCCCGGCGAAGTAGTCGGCGAAGTCACCGACCTCAACCGCCAGGATCTCGAGAAGCAAAAGGCCGCCCAGGGCAGCGCCCACTTCCACCGCCTCGGCTGGAAGCGTCTCACCGTCGTCCTCATCGTCGAGGCCATCGCCCTCGGCAGTCTGTCTCTCCCCGCCGCCTTCGCCTCCCTCGGTATGGTCGCCGGCGTGATTGTGTGCGTCGCCTTGGGCTTGATCGCCATTTACACCAGTGACGTCGTCGGTCAGGTCAAGATCAAGTTCCCTCACGTGTCGCACTACGCCGACGCCGGTCAGCTCATGTTTGGCCGCTGGGGCTACGAAATCATCGGTGCCATGTTCGCGCTTCAGTTGACGTTCCTGGTTAGCTCTCACACCCTTACCGGCGCCATCGCTTTTGGCAACATCACCAACGACGGCGCGTGCTCCATTGTCTTTGCCGTCGTCTCCGCCATTATCCTGCTGATTCTTGCCATCCCCCCGTCCTTTGCCGAAGTCGCCATCCTGGGATACATTGATTTCGTCTCCATCATTCTCGCCATCGGTATCACCATCATCGCGACCGGTATCAACAGAGGTGAAATTACCACCGCTCCCTGGTCTGCCTGGCCCAAGGATGGTATCACGTTCGCCGAGGCCTTCATCGCCATCACCAACGTTGTCTTCGCTTACAGCTTTGCCATTTGCCAGTTCTCCTTCATGGACGAGATGCACACCCCGACAGACTACAAGAAGTCTATCTGGGCCCTTGGTCTGATCGAGATCTTCATCTACACCTTCACTGGCGCCCTCATCTACGCCTTTGTTGGCCAGGATGTCAAGTCCCCTGCCCTGCTGTCCGCCGGTAACACCATTTCCAAGATTGCGTTCGGCGTCGCCCTGCCCGTCATCTTCATCTCGGGATCCATCAACACCACCGTTGTCGGCCGCTACATCCACGGTCGTGTTTACAAGGACTCCATCATCCGCTTCATCAACACCAAGATGGGCTGGATCACTTGGCTCGGTCTCATCACCGTCATCACCATCATCGCCTTCATCATCGCCGAAGCCATCCCCTTCTTCTCCGAGCTTCTGTCCATCAGCTCCTCGCTCTTCATCTCCGGCTTCACTTTCTACTTCCCTGCCCTGATGTGGTTCATGCTCATGCGCGAGGGTTCCGTCTTTGCCAAGGAGAACCTCATGAAGACTGCGCTCAACGGTCTTGCCTTCATCATCGGCATTGTTGTTCTGGTTTGCGGTACCTACGCCAGTATTGTTGAGATTGTGAGTTTCCCTGTATATGCCCACTCAAGTGTAACCATGCTAATTGTCTCGAATAGGACCTCAAGTTCAAGACTGGAAAGATCAGCAGCCCCTTCACCTGCGCTTCCCTCGCTTAAATACCAATCTCGTCAAATTTGTAGTTTTGATAGTGCAGATAATAATACCCCTTGAGTTATCTTGTAACATGCAGCAAAGCGTCTCAGCTCGTGCCATTCTATTGAGAGAAGCAACCATAGTAGCCCTTTGAGGGTGCAGTCCGATTTGTGCATGTTCAAGACGTAAGCCCTTGTGAAGAAGCCGAAGCCCGATAGGATTGCTCTCGCTGGACTATTAATTGCTTGTGGTCTGCTGCTGCTGAACCACACGTTGCTGTAAGATGTGTCTTGCCGGCTGAAAGACCATCTTGCTAACGTGTACACTCATCATTAATAATGCTTTCACAGAGTTCATAGGATCTTATTTAATAACAAAACCAATTGCAAGTACTAACTCCATGATCGATAAAACAGGCCCATGGTACCAAAACTCCAGGCCGAGTCCAATTATCCCACACGCCAACATTTCCATTCTATCCCCTTCCCCACCCCTTCACCAGCAACTCAACCACCAGCTCATTTCTCCGTTTCCTACGTGTTGCCCTTGTCTTAGTCACTTCCGGTGCTCTTCATCCAGGCTTCACCTGATTCGCTTCCGATACTCTTGAGCCAAACGCCAATCATGTTTCGGCGGATTTTCTCTGACTCATTATTGAGCACCAGTACTCGAACCCTGTTGCCCGGACCCCGACGAAGCCGGTCGATCTCGTTCACCTTCGGGAAGGTCAACATGTCGGTAAACTCGAATATTGCCAGTGACTGATAGTCTCCGAGTATGGCGTAGGGAGCGTCTTCCACGACGGCATGGGTGGCAATCCCGTGAAGCGTTGTGGTGACTTCCTTTTCGAACGGAGACTTGGGATGATTTTCGATTCCGAAGGTCGACTCAAACTCACGATTGTGAGGTGTCGTGTAGTTTCGGAGGCCACTTGTGAGGCGTAGGAAGTCTTGCGCAATCCCCTCATTGTTGGCCGTCTCGAGCATCTCCGTCAGCTCGGCGGCATTGTTTTGTACCTCCTGCCACAAATTCAGCAGTCCCACAGGGGTCTTGTCGAGCTCTGTCTCGAACTCCTCCACGGCGACCAGGCCTCTATCCTTGTGCTCGGCGACGAGCATCGATTCAATGGGTTCTTGACCAGGAGCGGTCAGTTTACACTTGGCCGTCCAGCCTGGGACGGGAATGATCGACGCTGGCTCGAATGGCTGGTGATTGTGGATCTTGATCATCTTCCCAGCTTGAGTCGTTCTATCTATCACCAAAGTTCCCGGCATGTGCCCTTTGACGAGAACCAGCCCAACATCTCGGTTGATGGAGTCTTCGATTGATCTAGCCACGTCCGATACGTTTCGGTGAAACAGGATGGTGGGGTTGGGACGTCCGAGGTCGACGCCGTCAAGCAGTCTGAAGTCTGCAGTATCTAAAAACCGATCCGCGACCTTGGTGTAATAGTCGCTAGGTGCTCGACTCAAGACCCTTGGTAAATCGATCCGGTTGGCTGTTTCACCTGCATCGTGCAAGTTCTTCGACCTGGGGCAATCTCCAATTGAGATGTCCGGCAAAGGGGCGTCGTTGCGAATAGCTGCCACGATTGGCGGCTTGGCCTGTTGGTCACCCATTGTGACGTGTCTGCAAATTGGTATCGGTTACCTGATTTCTTGATGGGTTAGCCAAAGATACTGATGTAGGGTGAGGTAGAGTAGGATACCTATTCGGCAAATATTCCTATTTTGTCTAGACAGACCGACGGGATGACTGAGGAAATAACAGTCGGCGATTGTGGTTGAGAATCGTTGAGGGGAGCAAGTTGGTCGTTGGTCTCCGGGAAAACAAAGACAAGGTGGCTCAAGAAGGGACGCGTGTTGAGGTAAGGTAGGTACGCCTGGGAGCCAAGGTAGGCGTAGGTAGTAAACCTTCAGGTGAGGCAGGCGCGTCCCGTTGTAGGGCGGGTGGAAGGGGGAGTAGCGGTCAGAGTGAGGGGGGGCATATCTGACCTGGCCCTCATCTAGCCCTTAAAGACTACATGTATATTCACTTACCTACCTCAATGATGAACCTGATCAGGAACACTTATCTTATCACGTGATGAGTGATGAGTCTCGAGTATGGTGATTGATGCTCTCATGACAAGTCTCTGACCACTGTCAGAGGAGACCAGGACGTGCCCAAACGAATAGTGGGGACGGGAGGAATAAGGTACTTGCCTTGATGGGGGGGAGACAGATCGAGATTGGCCAGTGCAGTTGCGGAGCCGCAGAACCTTAAGGTGCCTTCCTCGATTTTCGTACCTCACCTCACCTTACCCAGTGGGTGGCATTGTTGGCCGCCCACCAACCTACCTCTATTTTCATTAAGGTATCCATACTGTTTTATCCCTCTTAAATCTCCTGTTGTTCTTATTGTTTCCTATTACTTTTAATATCTGTCCTTTTCTTTTTCTTTTTCTTGTCTGTGATGTAGTCCTTGAGAATACTAGGTAGCCTTTAGTTACAATACAAAGAATCGATCTCGTAATCATATTGCGTTGATAGGCATCTTTTTGGATCACCTAACTCCGAGGTGACTACTAAGGTACCTGCTCCCGTGAGTGGGTCTGACCATACACATTTGGAAGGTCCTCGTGATACCACCTTTGTGCCTTCCCTACCTCCCATGCCTCACCTTGGTACCGCACAAGGTAATCCGAAGCCCTTACCTACCTTGGCGCTTTCAATCTTCACTTTCGCCTACCCCAAGGTTTTTCATTCATCCTTGCCGTCCTTCATCCACAATTTTGCTCAGCTTTTCGTTGTACAACTGAGTTTCATCGCGAACCCGTCGATTTTGTCTCTCAAATTCAACAGGTAAGTCTACTTCCATTCAGCCTAAACCGGCATCAGACTGATCAAGGATATCAAAAATCAGACTTTGAGACGAAATCGACATGGCTTCTTCCTCTCCCGAGGAGACAGCTGTCAGACGTCGAAGGGAGGATATGGACATTCTCCCCGAACACGAGAAGAATTACTCGCCAGGACGACGACTTCTTCTCCGATCACACAAACCGCTTCCGCCCTACGGCGATCATCACTACCCGCTTCCGGATGGCTGGAATTCTCGCGACATGATGGTATCCGATGAAGAGAAGGCCTTTTCGCTCAGACGACTGGTTTTCCACCCGAACAATGCGCCCAAGACCATTGACAAGAACAACCAAGATGGCCATGCTGCTTCCATGGAGGTCGAGATCATTCGGATGATTGACGGCAGTGCTGGATACCATCCTGGTCCCCAAAAATTCCTTTGCAAAGTTGTCGCTTCGCCATCGGCCGCCCCAAATGAACGAGAGCATGAGATCCCGTCTGAGGGACAGCTACTCTTCCTGAAGGTGTTCGATCCCTTGTTCTGGCACAAGACCATCGACATCACCAAGCGCCTCATCAAAGTCACAATCCAGGCCGACTCAGCATTCAGTGACGAATTCGGCGCCTACAACCGCCTCTTTGAAAAGGAGCTCACTGGCTTCCCCCATGTCGCTCCTCAATTCTATGGAGGATGGATCACGGAAGTCAAGTCGATCAACCCATCGTTCGCAGACCGGACCCGGGATGTTGCGGTGCTTGCAACCGAATTTATCGATGGCACCGGCCTCGACCAACTCTTTGCACTTGATGGCCCCAAGTATGAGGTGGTTGAGCTATACAACAGCGCCGAGTCACGCGATGCTTTCACCACAGATCTCGATACAAGAATGGATACTATAAAGCAGCTCATGGACGGTACTATGTCGGAAGAGTACATTGGAGTTGATCATTGCCGTTTTCACTCTAGCAATGTTATAATTTCCATGCGAAACCTCGGTGAGCCGCTGGAGAAACCCAGGGCTGTTCTGATTGGCTATGGGCAGGCGTTGGTCGATGATTTGCGCAGGGAGCCTGCTGACACGTACAAGAACTATCCAACAAAGCCCCATCCGTTCCTTCGATTCGGCTGGCAGAGACTGGAGTCTTTCGCAGGCTGGATCCCTGCCCATTGGAAAGGTCCGAACATCAACCGCCCGCGTTTGCTCGACCAATGGGTCGTTCAAACATTTGGTCCTTTGACGCCCAATGAAGAATATACCTTTCTTGCGTCCGACGGTCTGGCCGAGCTCGAGGGAACATCTACAAGCGCCTTGCCCGAGGAACAGCCTTAGAGTGGCAGTCACCTGGAAACGGTTGCCCCGACGGTCGCGACTACTTCTGACCCCTCGGTAAAGTCCGTGGACTCCGACAATGCCCATGTCTCAACAACGCTTCCTACCGAGGAAGATCACAATGAGAACATTCCCAGCCTGAACGACAAAGACGAAGCAGCCGGTCCTTCTTCTGACGACTCCCACCCTATGCCGCAGTCTCTACTGTTGGCTGGAATATCTGGCGAGCGCGACTCTTACACTGAGTCGCAAGATTCGAGGCCCACTGATCAGGACATTGACTCTTTAACAACTGATTTGGAGAGTCTGACACTCGAGGACAAATCGGACAACATTTTCTAGGAAGAGAGGGGCGGCACTGCAAATTGGTATTGGGATTGACATTGAGGTAGTTAGCGGTAACTTGGTGGATGCCAAGCGGCGGCACATGATGGGCACAATCAAGAAACATAACTGAATTGAGAAGTTGCTGCTGTATCCTTTATCCCACTCTCAAGCTTCCTCTCTACAGATACAGAAGTGAAGTAATGTTGATGCCGTAGGAAACGTGAGCCTTTCTGCACGGCAAGTTCCTCAAGCCCACATCAATCGCCCCCAATAGCCCCCAATCGCCTCTATAAGAACCCATCGCCAAACGTCCCCTTTGGTTCCAGAACAATCCACAAATGCTGGCCAGAAACGTGCAAACATTAGTCATGGAGAACGTGAATGCTGCGTAGCCAGGCACCGAGAACGACGCGTCGGATTTGAGCCGGGTTGTCGACGACCACTGCGCTAACAATCTGGCCTGGTCCTGCTCGAAGCCGCGTGATCTCGTCCTTTGACATGGAGTCTCTCGTGAGACCCTCAAACTCAAACATGATCAAGGATTGATGCTCCATGAAACCGACAAAGCGAGCGGGAGTGGTGATAGCGTAACTCGTCGATTGATGCAGTGTCTCCGTGACATGCGGAGTGAATGGGGTGGCTAACTGCCGACCCAGCGTAGACTGCTTCTTGTAACGAACATTCGACTGTCGAAGAGCCTGGGCAGCGGTGTCGGCGCTTGCGACGGCTTGGTCGTTACCCGAATTTGTCGCGATAGAGTTCGAAACCTGATTGCCACGTTCCGCGAATTCCTTCATAGCACCAACCAATCGCTCCTGAGTCATTTGCATTTCGCTCTCAAACTCCTTAGTGAAGACCAAGCCCCGGTCCTTGTATTCCAAAACGAGGTTCGAGAGGATCTGTTCTTTGCCGGGTTCGGGGGTGTAGGCACACGCGGCTGTCCAGTCGGGGATGCATGTGATAGAACTGGGCTCATACGGCTCGGGGTCAGGAATGTCGATTTTGTTGTATCTCTGTGTGGTGCTGCTCATCGTGAGTGTTCCATCTGGGTGCCCCCCAAGAAGCACCAATGCGATCACTCGGTTGATGGTTTCGTCAATGGACCTTGCAACATCTGACTCATTGCTGTGAAGCACAATCGAGGGATCTGGTCTGCCAGTGTCTAGACCAGCCAATGCCTCAAAGTCGGCATTGTCTAAAAAGTCATCTGCGACATCTGTATAGTAGGCGGCATTGCGGTATTTGAGAGCCTTGGGTAGCTCAACCTGATGGCAAGACTCGCTGGCTTTGTGCAAGTCTTTCGGATGGCTGCGAGGTGCGACTTGGATGATGGGAAACGGCGCGTCGTTACGGATTGCGATGACAATCGGCGGCTTCTGCAGTTGAGCCTCCATTAGATCCGACATCGTGTCTTTGAGGATGCTATGGCTAGCTACCTGATGAAGTTAGTTCTAGAAGGAGAATAAAGGAGTTTGGGGTACAACTGACGAGAGACTTCCCATTTTTAGTTCTTCGGTACGATTGATGGAGGTGGGAGAGATAATTGACAGGTCGGTGATGGTAGGTACCGTAGTATAGCCAAAGACCTCAACAAAGGACGCGCGAATCAAGTCGCGAAGCCAATCAAGATGGCAAGTTGTAGACAACGAGGTGAAGCAGGAGAGCCTTATTGCAGAGAGGTGAGAAGCGGGATGGTGAGAAGCGGGAAGGCGAGATCCACCCCTTCAACAACATATGTACATTCATTTAGGGCTAACGCCTTTCCTGTGAGGTGAGTCCAGCTGCCTCAGGTACACAACTGCTGGAATCTTGTCGGGAAGGAACTAGAGATTTTATGTAGTGGCATCGACCACCTCGTTCGAGATCTTGCCACCAAGTGACCATTGTAGAATTTGTGACAACTTGATCAATGGAGAGTACCTTAAACCAAAACATGTTAAAAGGTAAGAAGTCTGACAATGAACCAAAGCCTGGTCCTGCAACGCTCTTTGAGAGCGCACTGACTTTTTGCCATTCGGGTCATATTATACTATTATTTTCTACTCGATATGAAGAGCACGAAGCAAGCCATGGATGTCACATGAGAGCCTCAAGTATATGTTAGTTGCTAACTCCTCA